GCTCAGATGTGTCTTTTTGCCTTGGCTTCCCTCTCTTGTCTAACTCTCTGTCCTGTGATGGCACACTTGGTGTGATTCTCTGGCTTAGGACTGTTCACTGGAACTCTAAAACTGCTTTCTATGTGAGAGCTTTTTCAGATTCCAGCTTCTCCTCCGCCACCTTGAAAATTGTCTTCCAGATCCAAATTATAACAAAGATTCTTCTCAATTTACAGAAAAGTATACAATTTATTCATTATTTTTAATTAAAAATTATTATGAAGTACTTGTACAAAAGGGTTTCTACTTAACATGTGAGTATGTAAGTATAAGACATGGGTATGAAACCATGTAAACAATATACATGATGCAATTTTACTATACATTTATTAAATCTATGTATGTATGTGTGTATGTATGTATTTATGGACAGTACTGGAATTTGAATTCAGGGCCTTATAATTTCCAGGCTGGTGCTCTACCACTTGAGCCACACTGCTAGTTCTGGCTATTATTTATTTATTTATTTATTTTTGTTGTTGGTTGTGGGGCTTAACTCTGGGCCTGAGCCTGTTCCTCAGCTCTTCAGCTCAAGGCTAGCGCTCTACCACTTGAGCTACAGTGCCACTTGAGATAAGAGTTTCAGGGACTTACCTGCCTGGGCTGGCTTTGAACCAAGATCCTCAGATCTCAGCCTCCTGAGCAGCTAGGATTACAGGTGTGAGCCTTCAGCGCCCAGCCTGGCTATTTATTTAGTTTGTGTGTGTGTGTGTGTGTGTACTGGTACTTACTCAAGGTTTGGGTACTGCCGTGAACATTTGTGATCAAAGCTAACAATGTACCACTTGAACCACAGCTTTACTTCCATCTTTCTCATTTTTTTGGTGGTTAATTGGAAATAAGAGTCTCATGGACTTTCCTTTTCCTGCACCAGCTGGTTTTGAACTGTGATCCTCAGAGCTCAGCCTCCTGAGTAGCTAGGATTACAGGTATGAGCTACTTGGACCCCACCTTCTAACTTTGACTTAAGAAAATACCCATCTTTTCTTAAACTTACATTTTTAGGTACAAAATCAGATAACTTTTTTTTATTAGCATTGTATTAGTTAATACAGAGTGGATTTTACTGTGACATTTCCATTTATATATACAACGTGTTCAAATCAATCTCATTCCCTTTAGCAGTCTCCCTACCTTTCTAAAACTATTCCAGTAAGTCTCATTGTTCTATTTTCATGAATGCTGTTTTTTTCTGTAGTTTGACAAATTTCTTAAACTTTAAGCTTAACTTCAATTAAATTTAAGATGTGAAGTTAACTTTAGTGGTATAGAAGATAAGGAAGATGATAGAGAATTAATGTGTGCTGGCCCATTAGGGATCAGGGATTAAGGTTTAAGGAACCCTTTACTTGGTGCTAGACTACCTGGTCTTGTATCACTTGTGCTCTTGATGGTATTTTTGATGCTCTGATGCTAGTCAATTAATCATTGCTACACTTCACAGGGATTTATAAACGATTTCTTATATTAACTAAAGGTTTGATTCACATAAAAGCACTAGTTGTTTTAGTATTCTCAGTTTTCATGGACATTAACCTCTTCAGTTAAAACTTTTCATCTTGGAAAATGAAACTGCTATCATGTGGTGGTTCTTAATTTTATTTATAGCATGATCACTTAGTTGAGAATTAGCTTTTGGCTGCTGTGACTTTAGCAAAAACCCTGGGCACATATAGAGGCTTTAGAGTCAGATGGACCTGAGTTTGAATCTTGGCTTTATCGTTACCAGGTCCGTAACCATTGGAGAGTTACTTATAAATATATGTTTTCTTATCTTTATGATAGCATAATAATATATACCTCAGGTAAGTTGTATGTGTGCGTGCAGTTACATGTGCTCACTTCATAAGGATAATGAAGATGAAAGAGAATATGTGTGAAGTTCATGGACATATGTTCCCTTTGTCTCTGTGCCCATTTTAAAATTTCATTTTATGTCACAGCTGAAAAGAAGATCATGTAGACACTTCTGGACACTTTACATCCATTCCCTTGATGTAGCAGGTAGTAGTGTGTCCTGTCATTTCTAAAGTTAGCACATCCATTTCTTCAATGTCACATAACTATTGTTAGATCTTTAGAATTTAAACATTTAGTTTTTATGCTGACTTTGTATAATCAATAACTGGAGGGAGGGAAGCCAGATTAAATGAATGAAGTCTTTTACTTGTAACCTTTAGTTTTCCAGGGGACTGGGATCTGGAAAATAGTGTTTTGAGGGTTAGCCTAGTAGAAAAGGCTGTGGGACTCTATCTCCAAAATAAGTGGCAAAAAGAGGACTGGAGGTATGGCTCAAGTGGTAGAGCACCAGCCTAACAAGTAAAACCAAGCAAGCACTAGGCCTTGAATACAAACGCCAGTACCACAAATAGGAAAAAAAAAAAAAAAGGAAGCCCAAGCTATGTATCACTTCTTATTTACTAGGTGGCTAGGGGCAATGGTGCTTGCATTTACCTTAAAGTACTGTTAGATCTTTCTGTTAAAATTGCTTGCCTTTTTTTGTTTGTTTATTTCTCCAGCCTCTGTTCCATGCCTAACCCATCTTTGTCGTTTGGAAATTCGGTCCAGCCTAAAACTAGAACACCTTCGATCTGACAGTTTTATCCGTCAGTTACCGCTTCCCACAAGTCTACATAATTATTTGCTCTATGAAGACGTTCTGAGGAGGAACGAGGTTCCTGAACTGGCAACTATTCATGATGGAGAAATCAGTGAAGCTAGTTGAAACAGCTCATTTCTTACTCTGGAAGCTATCAAGACAACAGAGCCATGGAGTACAGATTATTCATGACTTTGTAGTCATAGAAGATAGGTTTTGCTTATGTGATTTGGTTAGGTTTGGGGGTTAGTAATAAATATGAATGTTTACAATGGGCTTCTCAGTAAAAAGATATTGTAAGTTTTATTTGTATTACTTTTTGCAGTTTCATTTCCAGTTACACTTTGTTGTAATATTTATTTCTACTTTATTCTGAACTCTGCTGCTTCTTTTAGTGCTAGACATGGTGCATTTCCACCTCTGTTTCATGTTCACCTGGTGCTTGCAACCAAGAATAGAAAGCATACACTGCACCAGAGTATGAGTAACTGCACTTACTATTTTATTTGGGGATGATTATCTTGTAAGTGATCTTACCCTGTTGTTGTATTCTGTTTTCACTTCCTAATCCAGTTACTTGATACAAGAATGGTATTCGTTACCTTTTCACATGTAAACTCAGGGGATTTTTTTTTGCCACTCTTGGGGCCTGGGCACTGACCCTGAGCTTCTTTTTGCTCAAGGCTAGCATTCTACCACTTGAAACACAGCACCACTTCCAGCCTTTTCTGTTTATGTGGTACTGAGGAATCGAACCCAGGGCTTCATGCATGCTAGGCAAGCACTCTACCACTAAGCCACATTCCCAGCTTGGAATTTTTTTTTTTTTTTTAGGATTATAGATCAGTTGTATTGCTGATCCCTCTTCCTTAAGTTTTTTATTTTTTTTATTTTACTCTTTGGCAAATTATGTCACATTGGTGTGATCTCAAAGACATGTTCAGTTTAAAAAATATTAGATCAGCTGGGCAGCAGTAGCTCATGCCTACTCAGGAGGCTGAGATCTGAGGACTGCAGTTCCAAGGCGGCCCAGGCAGGAAAGTCCATGAGACTCCTATCTCCAATTAACTACCAAAAAGTTGGAGAATGATGCTGTGGCTCAAAGTGGTAGAGCATTAGTCTTTAGCACAAAAGCTCAGGGTCAATGCCAGGCCCTGAGTTCTAGCCCCAGGACTGTCACACACAAAGAAATATTAGGTCAGTTTTAGGAGCATTTTACCACATTTGGGATATTATTAAGAGAGGAACATTTCTGTGTCACCATCTTTAAAGAAAGAATGGTGCATACTTCAGAGTTACTACCAAATATAGCAATCAGGCTCTTTTCAGCTCCACAATCAGTGAGCAGCTTTGTTCCCATGAAGCATTTATTGCCAGTTTTAGTAATAGTTTAGTGGTTTTCTTTTATAATCTAGATGGTTTATCAAACAGTACATGAAGACCTCATAATCCTAGGTTAATGAAGGACTGCGTCATGAGTCAGTCTAAGTCTATAGTCAGAAAGTACCAAACACAGAATTAAATGAGCCTGATTAGAGATCGTGGAGACTAGCTTTGAGAGAAAGATAGGAGAGCATTGCCACCATAGACAACTGGACAGCTAGAGATTGGTCCAAAGGAAGCAAGTCTCTTATCTTGTTCTTACCCTGTGGTTGAAATAGATGGAACAGATCACCTAGGTCCATCTCAGATCGTCCTTCACTGTTCTGACAAAAGTCATGAGGACAACATTGTTAAGATCCAAAAGAATGGCTGGACTCTTCTTCACTTTAGGAATTTCCTGTGGGGTGAACGTAGAATTGGAATATATGTGTACAGGTGGCAGAAGTTTAGCTGTTGAGAACCAGGTGGCAATTCTGGTAACTTAAAAAATTCCAAAATTCCATGTAGTATTTAAAATGTTGCAACCTTTATTTTTTAAACCATTATAGCTCTCAGTTTTTTCCTAGACCAAATGTACCTTGAATGTTTCAATCTTATGTAGTTTGTTCATATTTGTATGTTTATATATGTAATAAAAACTCAAGTATCCACAAGTTCGTGTTGAGCTCTTCATTTTGAAGATGTGAAAATCAATACAGATGATCCCTGAGTGATAGTCAACTTTGCAGTGGGACAGAACTGACATATATTTTGCACTGTTTAGAGCTTTAACCTTTTCCTGGGCTAGCAACATGCAGTGTGGTCTCTTTAGGGTTCTGAGCATTGGCAGCTTCTAGTCAGCCATGTGACCATAAGGGTAAAGAGCTGACACTCTACAGTGCAGATATGTTTAGTAGATTACATGAATTAAATACATTTTCAACTTAGGACATTTTCAACTTACAGTAGTGTTTTAGAAACCTTTAAAAGCTTTTGGTATTTAAGTAATTACTATAGTTTGGATTTGGAGTGTTAAAGGCATGGACCCCAGTCTGTGGCACTATGGAGGTATAGTAGAACTTTAAAGAGATAGAACCTAAAGGAAGAAGTTAGGTCACTGGGATGTGTCCTTGAAGGTAACATTGGGACTTCCAACTCTTTCTGTCTTTTCTTCCTAGCCACTATGAGGTGAGCAAATCTGTTCCACCAGTGGTTCTCTACTATGTTCTGTCACATCACAGGCACAAAAGAATTAAGGCTAGGTGCCAGCTACTAATCCTTGTTACTTGGAAGGTGGAGATTAGGTGGATCCTGGCTCAAAGCCAGCCTGGGGTAGCGGGGAGGGGGGGGGTGGGTAGGGAAGGGATGGGAAGGGGAAACAAAGGAGGAGACAATGCTGGATAAGAAATGTGGTTGTCATGTCCAAAACGTGCTTTACAACATCGGTGGGGGGGGGGGAAGGGGGGGAAGGGGAAGGATTGGGGGGGGGGGGGGGGGGGGGGGGTGGGTAGGGTGGAGAGGAGGAAGTAAGACCCTATTTCAACTAGTAGTTGACCATAGAGATGTGTGCCTATCTTCCCAGCTATGTGGGAGATTGAAATTGGGAGGACTGCAGTTGTAGGTCGTCAGCCTGGGTAGATAAGGTTGTGAGATTCCATGGCAACATAGAAGACTGGACATGGTGGTAAGATTCTGTCATTCTAGCTATGATAGGATGCCTGAATAGGATGATTGTGATTCAGACTGGCACTGGAAAATTGTAAGGCCCTATCTCAAACAAACAAAACCCAGAGCAAAATCGGGCCTGGTTCAAGCATGATTCAGGCATCGTATGAAGCATACCCTAAGTTCAATACCCAATACTACCACCATCCAAATATATATGTAAATCAAACCATCTTCCTAATTTATACATTGGTCTATCCTTTTGTGTGAATGAAACCTGCAATTGAGCTAAGGCCATGAGTGATTGCAGAATCGGAATTGGTAAGAATGAAAAGAAAACGGACCATTTTCTGTGCTGATTCTTTTCTTAAGAACATACAGTCCTTCCTTACCATTTGTAAAGGAAAGCAGAGAATGGAGGTGAGTCCTTTGTGAGCCTGCTTTTAGTCATCTGGCTTCTGTCTAGAGTAGTCACATAATTGCGTGTCTTGCATTACTCTAGGATTACTTTGTATGGTATGTGTTTCTAATGGAGGAATTTAAACTAGCAGTTGTTGCAATGAAGAGCCTTGTCTGCATGGTTTTTCTGTTTCTTGGCTTCTTCTGCATAGCACTAATAGATGAAGCAGAACAGGTGGTAATTGCCACTGGCGCACTGAGACTTGTGAATAGCATCTGTTTATGTCTCTTTTACCATCAAATGGTTAGCATCCCCTCTTCACTGCTTTCCTATGTGGATGATAAAGTCTATCATGAGTCATTATAAGGTGCTAATTTACACTCTTTTTACCATGATGAAACTAGTGAAGAAGAAAGTCCATCTGGTGACTTAAATAAGACTGTGGTTTGAACTGAATAATTCACAAGAAGGTACAACAGTACTTCTGAGGTCATTATGGATTATTGGTCAAATAATATGTGCCAAAGATAGCAATCTCAAGCCTGGATGTGTTTTCTTAGATGCATTAGTTAATACTGTAAAATCTAGATTTTGGTTTTGACACAAAATTGTATTTTTTATTATTTTAATTCCTAATTGCACAAAATGTTTCAATTCAATACACTATTATATCAATAAAGTGTTCAAATCTTTATGGTCATTATCTTGCTTGTGATTATTTGGTTTTAGTAAGCCCACTCTTAAATGTCATACTGTGGTATTTGTTTATGTGTGTTGTAAATGCATACTTACTATTTAGTTAGTTAGTTAGTTAGTTAGTTGGTCGTGGGGCTTGAACTCTGGGCCTGGGCACTGTCCCTGAGCTCTTCAGCTCAAGGCTAGTACTTTACCACTTGAACCACAGTGCCACTTCTGTCTTTTTCTGTTCAGGTGCTGAGGAATTGAACCGAGGACCTCATGCATGTGAGGCAAGCACTCTACCACTCAGCTACCTTCCCAGTCCCTCTTTTCTAATCTTTGTAATGATAAATTTCAAGCATAAAAAATAGAATATTACATAATGAACTAGTTCCCAACAATGACCTCCCTCCTATTGGCATTTTAAAGCAAATTCTACAAGTAACATTTGTAATACTTTAGTATGCATTCTATAAGTTAAGAACTCTCTTTTTAAAACTAACAACAATATCACCACATCTTCCTAAAAAATTAATAAGTACTTTACTAATATCTACTCTTAATTTTTTTTTTTTTTGTTGGTCGTGGGTCTTGAACTCTGGGCCTGGGCACTGTCCTTGTACTCTTCAGCTCAAGGCGAGCGCTGTATCGCTTGTACCACAGCACCACTTCTGGTTTTCTAGTGCTTTATTGGAGATAAGAATCTCACAGAGGGGCTGGGAAGGTGGCTCAGTGGTAGAGCGCTTGCCTTGCATGCCTGAGGCCCTGGGTTCGATTCCTCAGCACCACATAAGCAAAAAGAAAAAAGCTGGAAGTGGCGCTGTGGCTCAAGTGGTAGAGCGCTAGCCTTGAGCTGAAGAGCTGGGGGACAACGCCCAGGCCCAGAGTTCAGGCCCCATGACCGGACCCAAAAAAAAAAAATATCTCACAGAGTTTCTTGCCCAGGCTGGCTTCGAACCTCGATCCTCAGATCTCAGCCTCCTCAGTAGCTAGGATTACAGGTGTGAGCCACTGGCGCCCGGCCTCTACTCTTAATTTTTAAAAAATGTTTCACTCCAGATCTGAAAAGGATTTTTAAGATGTGATGTTTGGTTGAAGGCTTTGGATTACTTTCCATCCTATTTCCTCCCTCTCACAAAGGAAACCAATTTATAGTTTGTTCTTTAATTTATTTTAAACATAAAC